GTATTATTCTACCCAAAGGAAGATTAATATTTGGCCGAATTGCATACACACTTGTAATGATAAACATGTGATAATTATAAGGATTTGCTTTGTCGATGATAAATCAATCCAAAGACTAGTTTGTTGTTGGACGTGCTTTATTGTCAATGTTTGATTATTACAACAAGATACCTCTAGCAGTTAATATTACTGTCCAAAGACTTGATATTGTTGGTGCATTGGGTATCTTGAGATGGGTTAAACCACTATTTGAATATATATTATTTATTTTTTATATAATGTGAGCATAATTAGTTTATTTCTCGTGTTCTAAATTCAACTACAATTGCTTCTATATCTCGCCAATTTAAATTGCGTTCGGTCCTCAATGGAACAAATTTTAAGGACTTGGAAAGAGAACATTGATATTGTTCTTGGTTGCATGGATATGGATTTTGCATTAAGGACTAAGCAAACCCCTACTCTTACGGATTCAAGTACCTCCGAACGTAAAAGAGATTATGAGAGGTGGGATCACTCAAATCGCATGAGTCTAATAATCATTAAGCGTGGCATCCCGGAGGTGTTTAGGGGCATTGTTTCGAAAACATCACAAGTGCCAAAGAATTCCTTGCTTGAAATTGAGCAGCGCTTTGCAAAAAGCGATAAGGCGGAGACAAGCACTCTTCTTCGAACTTGATCTCCATAGCATGTCTAATATTGTTTTTAAACTCAAGGCACTAAAACTTGAACTCTCAGAAGACTTGCTCATTCATTTGATGCTGATTTCTCTTCTTGCAATGTTTAATCAATTTAAGGTATCTTACAACTATCAGAAGGATAAATGGTCTCTTAATGAGCTCATTTCACATTGCGTACAAGATGAGGAAAGACTAAAGCAAGACAAGACAGAAAGTGCTCATTTTTTGCAAGCACCTCCAAGGCTAAGGGCAAAAGAAAGAGATCAGAGGATCTCGAGAAAGAAGGTGCTAAGGGTCCAGAACAAAAGAAACAAATTCAAGAAAACAAATATTTCTTTTGCAATAAGACTGGACACGTAAAGAAGAAATGTGCTAAATACCATGCTTGGCGTGAAAAGAAAGGGTTGCCTAAACTACCGGAAGCCAATTGATTCTGAAAGATGGATTTATGTTGGAGATGACAAATCGGTAGAGGTGGAAGCTATAGGTCATTTTAAATTGTTATTAAATACTGTTTTTTATTTGGATTTGAAAGACACTTTTGTTGTGACGTCATTTAGACGGAATTTGGTTTCAGTTTCTTATTTGGACAAATTAGGTTATTTATGTTCATTTGGAAACAATAAGTTCAATTTGTCTTTTAATTCAGATATTGTTGGAACTGGTTCACTTTTAATTTATGATAATCAGTATTTACTTGATATTGTGGCCACCTATAATGAAACCCTTAATGCAGAATCAGGTAACATCAAATTGTAACGTTTGGGCTTATGTTACACTCTTAAAGATATGGTAGAGAGTATGTTACACACTAAATATGACAGCTTATATTCTAAACAGAGTACCAACTAAAGCAGCTACCAAAACACCTTATGAGCTTTGGACTGGGCGACAACCTAGTTTGAATCATTTCCATGTGTGGGATTGTCCAGCTGAGGCAAGGCCTTATAAGCCAAATGAAAAGAAATTGGACTCCCGAATAGTAAGTAGTTATTTTATTGGTTATGTTGAAAGATCCAGGGGATATAAATATTATGATCCCACATTAAAGACAATTTTTTGAGACGGGAACTGCTACGTTCTTTGAGGATATTGAGTTTGGGGGGAAGAATAAGATTAAGAACTTCATCTTGGAGGAAGAATCGGTAACAATTTCAGAACCGATTCAAATAGTTACTTTTGATAAAGTAAGTTCGGAACCTCCACAAGGCATTGTTGATGAACCCCTCACTCAAGATGATTTGGTTGTTCATGAAGAACAAACTCAAGATCCTCAAGAACCTGTGCATCATGAGCTAATAACTTTGCAGAAATCCACTAGAGAAAGAAGAAGTGCTATTTCGGATGATTACATGGTATTTCTTCAGGAACATAAGGAAAATAATGATATAATGGAAGATGACCCAGTTAACTTCCGTCAAGCTATATAAGGTTCTAAATCTCAAAAGTGGATTGAAGCAATAGGATAAGTATAAGTCCATGCAAGACAATAAGGTTATTGGGAACTTGTCCCATTACCAGAAGGTATGAAACTCATTTGGCTTCAAGATGAATATTGTTGATGATTATATGTATCACAAGTTTAAAGGGAGACAAGTTTAGTCTCAATCAGTGCCCAAAGGGAATTTGGAAATTGAGGAAATGCAAAAGATTCCCTATGCATCAGTTGTAGGGAGTTTGATCTATGCCCAAGTATGTACGCATTCAGACATAGCATATATAGTTGGGGTTCTAGGAAGATATTTAAACAATCCAGGAATAGACCATTGAAAAGCAGCAAAAAGGGTCATAAGATATTTAAAGAGAACAAAAGATTATATGCTCACAATAGGAGGTCAGACCAGTTGGAGATCACTGGATTTTCTGACTCATATTTTGCAGGATGTCAAGAATTTGTAGCATGCTATGATGCATCAAATCATGGAATATGGCTGAGAAATTTTGTCACAGGGCTGCAAATTGTGAAAGGCATTGAAAGACCACTTAAGTTATATTGTGACAATAAATCAGCTGTATTGTTAAGGAAAGAGTACAAAGTGGACAGATTTCCATAGAACACTTAAGGACAAACTCCATGATAGCATATCTTCTAACTAAAGGACTTCCGCCCAAGGTCTTTCATGAGCATGTTGCTCACATGGGTATTTTACAGTTTGAGGAATTTGTGGTTTAGTGGGAGTTTGTCATTTTCATATATTTTATGTTCTATGTTTAATTTTATATATGTATACATTGTTTTTTGGACATATTTGGTTATCTATAGATATGCGGTTTTCTTGTTCATTCATTACACTTTGTACATTAAGGTTATTGTATCGATCTCGATAAGTTAAAGTTTGGACCAGTTGAAAATAGACGTGTACAGATCACCTTCACGTAATTTTTCATGCTACACATTTCATGATGAATCCATGTCATTTGGTTATGTCAGGATGAGTAATCTTGTTGGTTTTAGTTGCGATGATCCAATGAAAAGCTGATTTGGTTCTATATCCTGATATGATTAATGGACAGGACTTTTGGAATATGCTAAAGGAATATAATGACAATTTTGAGCTCATAAAGTCTAACACATTTGTAAGGTTGTAAAGACATATATATTTGTGACCAGTGGGAGATTGTTGGCAAATTTTGGGTCATGTATATATATGATACATATTTAAATGTGTTAGGGTCATTATTTATTAAGCCAAATAATAAAGTGATCTGACTAAATTAAAGTTTTGGCTAAAAACATATGTCATGAAAATAAAATTGTGTAAAGACCATAGAGCAATTTCTAATTTGATGAGGGGCCAAATTGGAAATACTAAAACTTAAGTAATTAACCTAATTCTGGTTATCTAAAGGGTCATGGTCCCCTTCTGAGAGCACACACACAGAACGCAAGTATCAGTCCCGTTCCTTTCTTTCTATCCCCATCAAGAGAGAAAATCAAGAGGGAAATACAAGTGCTCTTTAGGTGGAAGACCATAAGATCAATATAGTGCTCTACAAAGACATCATCGTTATGGCTAATTCAGGTACGCTTTCGCATTCAGTTTACAGCATGTTTATCAATATGGGATTATGTTTATGTTTGATTGTTAGAATCAAAATCAGGATTATTATTATTATTATTATTAATTTTCCAACATGTGTAACTAAGGTAGTGAAAGATGAAGCATGTAAAATATCAAGATCCAAACTCAGACCTATACTATAAATTTTACCTTTTTTATTTTTACCAGCAATCTTTATCCAAAGATCATAACCAACTAGATGATTAAAAGATGATGGCTATATTGAGTCCAAATGTATGAAATAAAATAACCAATGTTTTTCACTATAATACAATACAATGCTGAGGAAAAACAAAATAATAATTTAGAATACATCTTTTTGTTTGTGCTTGAAGTAATATTACTAGCAAGACATTACTATTATTATTATTGTGAATATAAAGAAAAATAACTAGATATGAATCTTCATTGAAATAATTATCATTAAAAACAACTTATTTTGAGGCATAGACGAAGTTATATATATATATATAAACTCATTTAAAATTTGTAACTCTAGTTTAAAATAACTTTATAATGTCTTATATCATTTCTAGGACCCACATTTCTTGCTTAAATTCACAGGTGAACAAACATTAAAAGTTTTAAAAATTAAACTTTAAATGAAGAAGGGGTTATAGTTGTTTCGGTGACTGCACCAGCTTCTTCTTTGCTCTGCCTGATCAGCTACTGAAAAAAAAATATAGATTTAAAATTTTTGCATTCAACTTTATTTTTTTCCCCTCTAAGATCAATGAATCAAATTTTACGGAATGTCTTTTTTCTGCCTAACAAAGTAAACTAACTCACTAAAATACAGACAACTATCCTGCTTTTAAAAATCAAGAATTGAAGCCTAACCTGCATCTTTATAATTTGGCCATGTCATCCAATGAAGTATTGGTTTTCAATATAAATAAAGTGTTGAGCAGATCTGATCGCTTGAATATATGTTGTTTGAATGCTTTTGTATATAACCAAATTTTTAGCACAAATAAGATTCTGCACAAAAGAATTGTTAATTAGAAAATGCGGGATACAGTTCCAATCAATTCCATATATAAGATCCTATACTGTTTGATTTGGAAGCATGTAGTACAGAGTTTCACTTAATATATTTGGAGTTTTCTATAAATAAGAAAGTATAATGCTGGTTGATAAACCTGGGACAGAGCAACATCAACATGTTTGGGAAATCCTTTCAGGGACCCTGAGTCAAATGAAGCAGAAGATCTGTAAGAGTTGGAAAACATTGTAATGAAACAAATTATATCTAAAATCAAGAAAGAATAGCATAAGATTTGCTCAGAACTAAGCTTGCAGTGTCAAACCTGAACATGCCAGTTTTCAGGATCATTTTCACTAGAAACCCATACTGAAGGGTCATCCTCTGGAACAACTGTATAATGATCCCTGAGTAGTGTTGACTTGTTCTAGAGTCAAAGTGAATCAAACCCTGAATGATCCAAACACTTGCCTGTTGCTTCAAGAAACTCATCTTGTTGCTGGCATACCGAGACGACAAAACACACATTACTGAAGAATGTTTAAAAAACTTCTTGGTTTCCTCATCATGAGTCTGCATCACACCAGTTTGCACAAAACGTATCAGAGCAATCAGCAACCAATCAAGCATTCTGACCGATTACAAAAAGGAAAGAATGTAAAATGCCAATGCCAGGTAGAGCAAAATCCTAACCGTCTTGAGTAAAATCTTATCGTGTGAAGTTTTATCATCCCAAACTAGCAATAACACTCTCACCCCTTCTTCAGACTTACACTTCAGCAGCTCTCCAAGCGTCAAATCACCTCATGGGAACGTCCTAGTAGGCTCTCAAACAAGCTTCACCTTATGGTAAATCGACCAACCCACCAAATACACCATGTGATGAGCCTCAGATATGGCATAACAAATACCCTCCCAACACTTCCCGTGCCTATAAACCTCTCCATTCTCAAGCTTTACCTCAGGTAACTTCCCTTTTCCAGATTCGGGACATTGCGCTTCTTGATACAACCTTACTGAACTCCCCTTTCTCACTGAAAAATACGTGTTCCTCACTTCGCAGTGCTCCGGATCCGCTGCAATGCCTCGCTGGTAAAGCAAATTCTCCTCCACCGGCATGAATTTCATCTGCATGTGCAACGTTGTGTCTCGCTTCGCCGGCTTCCCGGACGGTCCAATGATAGGAAACCAGTCGAAAATTAACTGGCCAGTAGCAATCAGCCACGCCAGAATCTTCACAGTTCCCATCGTCTGCGCGCCAAAAACGTCGTCATCCTTCACTCGAAACTCCAAATCCACAACTGGATGCGCGAGTGGGATGTGGAACTGCTCTTTCCACTCAGGGTCCTAGGAGTTCTTCAGCACTTGCGTGCGTGCCACCGTCGCCTACGGCACTGAAACCGTCATGTACGGGCCGCTCGTGATGATCCTCCTATTGTGGCGCGTCCGCTGGCTTCCACTGTGGGCGGAGACGTCGTCAAAGTGGAATTTGATAGTGTCACATGTTACGCAGCGACGGAGATGCTCCGAGAAGATGTCCATGTTCGGCAACTGTCGCGCCTTGATGATTTTCAAATCAAGGTCACCACCATGAATATAGATGATGCCATTGTCATTGTCGTTGCCAGTGACCGCCATGGAAAATGTGAGCATTAGCCTGTGCGCCGAGTGTATATAGTTTTGACTTTACACCAGGAGCGAAAGAGAGTGTTTTAATATAAAAAATAGATAAGTACTAAAGGTTTAGATAAAATTTATAAAAAAATATTATTTATAAAAACTTTAACTAATTTAAATATAATTTTTTTAAGAAAAAATTACAATTAATTTTTGTTGATATTTTTTAAAAAGATCAAAATTATTTTTTATAATTATATATTTTCATAGAAATTTACAAGTATTTTTTTAAATAATTTTTTGCAAAAAAAAAAAACAATACAGAGAATAAATAATTTTTAGTAGAAAGTTGACTTATTTGTAAGAGATATATAAAAAAATATCTAGTAAATTTGAATTGAAGATGTGAAAGAATGATTTCCAAGTAACTTAATATTCTTTTTAATTTGATATTTGTTATAAATTTGCTATAGTTTAGTTATAATTGTATGTTATATAATTTAGTTAGGAAATAGTTTTAAAAAGTAACATAGCTAATATTTATAGCAAGGGATTAGTGACAAAAAATTTTCTAGCTAAATTATTTTTCTCATTAAGTGAGGGAATAACTTCAAAAATATTAGTCTTCTAGCTATTTTACTACAGATTAGCTACAACCTTATTCTTTTACTATTCCATAGTTAATTAGCTATAAATTAGTTAAAAGTAAATTTTGTAGCAAATTTTCCTAACTAATTATAAATTTTCTTGTGGTGATACTTCACACTTTCAGAGAGAGAAGACATTTTTAAGAAAAACTTGTATTCAATTAATTATGTCTTGAAACATTACAATCCTTCTTATTTATAGTCACACCATTGAAGCAGAATTAAAAATTTCACTAAACTAAATTGAAATTTGAACCAAAAAATATCATACAAATTGGAATTGAAGGATAAAGTTGTGTCTCACACCTATTATGACCTTACAAATAAGATAAGATAAGATAGGATAACCTATCTTTTTGGATAAAGTAAAATAGATTTTTTCTTATCTCTTTTAAGACGTTTGCAGTACAAGCAATGAACATGTGTAAAAAGATAAGATAATCTTGTTTTAGTAACTTGTCATGATGACAGTCATTAACTAAAGTCTTTACTTCGAATGAGATATAGTAGAATTAGATCAATTTTTCTTGTTGTGTCTCACTCTTTGTCATACTTCGTGTAGTGAGTCCTAGTAAATATATATTATTTTGTGAAGCATCATTTCTTCCATTAATTCTTCATTATAATTATATGTCAAATATTCAACTTTTTCGAACTCTTCTTTAGATACATATATCTCAGTCGTTGATTTGAAGAATCTTATCTTTTGATAACCATATTTTTGGAATGATCATAAGAACTTAGTGGTCTTTAGGATGAACTGACAAGATTGGTGTTTACTGGTCTATGATGATAGTTATTGACTTCACAAAGATGTCTAGTCAACTGACTTTGTAGCTATCATCTAAAGGATATGTTTCAAAGTTTCCCCAAATGTAAGTTTCATTTTTTGACCATAATTATCCTATAGAATTTTAAAAATATGGACGATGGGTGATAAAGATTAAAGTGAGAGCTTTAAGAGAATAATCAATCATTCCCCTTTGTTGTTGAAAATGTATAATCATTTTCAATTCTTATCTTCACCAAGACAGTGATAAAATTAAATTTTTATATTAATTCAATTAATTAAATTTTTATATTAAAATAAAATAAATTATCCTTAATTTTTATGTTTGATTTGAATAATTTTTAATAATAAAGAAAAAAGTTAAACCAAACTAAGTCATTAACCCCTTATATATGTAATTGAGAAAGTTGTAAAACACTGAATGAAATAAGGAAAAAAATAAAAAAAATTAATACAGTGAAGTGAATTAGAATTAGAATATAATAGAATTGAATGTTTATTTTACATTTAAATATTTTATAATGACGTGGATCAAAATTTACATCATTCCCCCATTTGAATAATAAATAATATATTATTCTTATTTAAAAAAAAACACCATGCTTTTATTGTGGCTTTAACCAAGTGATTTATCACTAATTTCTTTTTATATTATATGTTTAGTTATATTATTAAATAAAATAAGATGTGTTAATTCCATTCAAAATCAGATATAACTTTATTTTTAAAAAGTGAAATAAATTGAATAATTTGTTTAATGTTTATTAACTTAAGGTTTCATACGAGAATTTATCTTATATATAAAATATTTGGGTATTTAGATACATGAACATATGGCAAATCAGTCAAATATGAGATGTTTTAATGAGGTTGGATATAATAAAAAAGGTTAAATTTTCATTTTGAGATGGATGAAAATTTAATTCCTTATCAAAGAGGTGTGTTCAGTAATGTTTCCAACAAAATACATTCAAAGAAAGATATTCTAAACCCATAGAATAAAATATTATTATCGATTTTATTATATATATATATATATATATATATATATATATATATATATATCACGGAAAATTATTACTATATTTAATTTATATTTATAATATTCAAATGTATTTATAATTAGAGGGATTAAAATAGGTTTAACTAATGGCTGATTTCAAATGTCTAACGTATGTATTATAAATTAGTTTGATAATAAACTCACTTATTCTAAGATATAATAGTTAAGATTAGTTTTTATTATATATCAATAAATTATTAAAAATGAATGATAATAATAAATAATAAGTTTTTAATTTTTATTTTAGAATTGTACTATCTTCCCTTATCATTTTTATACTAAATCATTAAATAAAAACTAATTTCACTAATACAAATTAAATTTTAAAAATATTTTTAAATTTTTTATCAAGTCAAAATTATCTCGTTAGTCCATTAGTCTAATATAAAATCAGATTAAACTAAAAATATGACCTGATTTAAAATATAGGTTTAAAATATAGGTCAGGTTGGATATGATTTTTTTATTTATTCCCGTAAAAAATTATATTGGACTGAACTACTTAGATAATCATGTTCATATATATATATATATATATATATATATATATATATATATATATATATATATAATTTGATTCAACCTACTAATCTTTATAAAATAAAATCATGTGTTTTAACTCAAATTTCATATAATATATCTTTTTAATCAATCATACATTTGCCACATACATCACACAATAATTATCTCCTTTGTCAACATCTAATTCCTCTTTAATTTCAAAGATGGACAACTAAATTCGTGTTAGGGATGACAAAACGGGTTAGGTCCGGCGGGTTGGTCCGCCGACCAGTCATAATATGATAGGGCTGGATCTGGTGTTTCAACTCGCCAACCTGCTTTGGCCCGCCACGCCAACCTGTTGAGCCAACCCATAACCCGCCTAATTAATAAAAAATAATTTTTTATTATAATGAAGTTAATTATAAAGATAATATATACAATTAAATTTTTTTAAAAGAGAATTAAAAAAGTTTCACTCTCAAATAAAATATTCTTCTTACTCGAAACACAATATTTTCTCTTTGTTCTCCATGTTCATCCTAATCACTCGATTATTTTTATCCTTATAACTTGAATTAAAGGTGTAATAATTACTCAAGTGAGAATAATGTGAAGTTTTATCAAATAAAAAATATATAAGTAGTTGAATTTTTCAATATAAAAAATATAAATTTTATAAGTTTTAACGTTATATATATATATATATATATATATATATATATATATATTGTTATTATTTATTATTATGTAAATTTTATTATTGTTCTAAATTATAATTTCTTAAAAGAATGTATTTATTTATATTATTAAATTGAAATATATATATATATATATTAAATTATTGACAAACAAATAATAATCTTATTATTAAATTTATTGAAAAATTTGATTTTAAAAAATAAATTATTTTTTTCTAAATTATGACGAGTCAACCAACCCGTCCTTTGGCGAGACGGCCAAGGTCTAAAGTCCGTCATGACTATAGCGGTCGATCCACGTCAACCTCGCTTTTGGCGGACCAAAGACAAAAAGGTCAAACGGAGCGGGCTAACCCATTTTGTCATCCCTAATCTGCATCACATTACTACCACCATTATTTATCTAAATAATAGACTAATTTTTGTAGCACTTGAAATTGATGGGTTAAATTATTGCGGGATGGTGACGATTGAAGATAGTGAGGATCTGTTACCGTTTTACACAAGTTATTATAATATAGTTAAAATGTCACAATGATTTTAATAGTTGGTACAACAAGTTAAACATTTTGATTTATTATTATAAGTTATCAATATAACAAAAATTATAAAAATATTTATCATGGGTTAAAGATTCTCAATGTTATTTTGGTATAGTAAATCTATAAATTTTAATTATTATTATTATTGTGTGCACTACAAGAAAATCGCGTATTACCGACGGATATTTACCGATGGATTTGTAGCCGTCGGAAAATAATCATTACCGACGGAAATTACCGAAGGATATAAAATATTTTTGGAATTTGATGTTACCGACGGATATATCCGTCGATAAATCCGTCGGTAATTTATAGATGAATTTATCGATGGATATATCCGATCGGTAAATCCGTCGGTAAATTATAGATGAATTTACCGACGGATATATCCGTCGGTAAATTCATATGTAAATTAACAATTATTTACCGATGGATAAATCCGATCGGTAAAATTATATAATATAATTTAATTATTCACCTAATTAAAAAATAAAATATTTTTTATTTAATAATTTAATTTAATCATAATTAGCTTAATTTATAATAATTTATTAAATTAAATAATTTTAAAAAATAAATATTTAATTATATATAAATATATATATATATAAATATATAAATATATATAAATATATAAAAAAAATAAATATATAAATATATAAAAATATATAAATATATAAATATATAAATATGTAAATATGTAAATATGTAAATATATAAATATATAAATATATAAATATATAAATATATAAATATATAAATATATAAATATATAAATATATAAATATATAAATATATAAATATATAAATATATAAATATATAAATATATAAATATATAAATATATAAATATATATAAATATATAAATATATATAAATATATTTGTATATTTGTATATAAATATAATTTATTTGTAAATTGTTATCAATAAATTCTAGTAGACTTAGTGGTTGGAGTATTAGCTCGACTCTAAGGTACTGGGTTCGAATCTTGCTAATAACATTTCTCTTAATCCGACAATAATTCGAAGTTATAAAAATATAATATGGTGAAATAATTAATAATAAATAATAAAATTATTACCGACGGATTTTGACCGTCGGTAATTTTAATATTTCTTGTAGTGGTGAATAAATATTTTGACATATACTAGTAGTATGTGTTTAGTGGAATAATTTTCTATTAGCTTTCCCCTTTAACTTGTCTAAGAATATGGTGATGATGTTAGACATGTTGAAAAATTTCATAAGGAGAAAAACATTTCAGAAAGGAGAGAGAGGACGAGAAGAGTAGGCAAAGAGAACAGAAAGAGAATAATTGACAACAGAGAAAGAAAGAATAAGGTGGGAACGTAATGAAGAAATAAATAAAATAAATGAATTAAAAATATAACAAAATATACTATGCGATTTTTGTTATAAAATGTTCAACAATAATTCATTTTACAATTATCAAAATATGGCATGAAGATTATAAAATAATCATTTTAAAATATTGTTTTGGATATATAATAACAATTTATTTTATAATTATTATTAAAAAAATAAAAATTATTTTTATAATTATCATTGCTTGTTTTTTAACAATTTCATATATAATTATAAAAATAGGTGTTTTATATATTTTGTACTAGTGGGTGGTCATCTAGATTCAATAGGTTTAGTTTTGATTTAATTGTAGTGGAAAGACTTGAATGGGTTATGCTTTAAGAGTGAGTTCAAAATTAGCATGGACGTGTGTCGGTTGCAAGGGAGGGAGAGTGGTGGTTGTAGCATGTTTTATAAATTTTAATTTATTTTTTAATATGTATATCATCGAGACATGTTTAAGTAAATGAAAAGTTAATTGTAGTTTAAAAAAAATAAGTTGTTAGATAAAACCAATTTAGAATGTTTACATAACAGCTTGAACCAATTCATAATATGTAGAAAATGCTTCAAGACTTACCTTGTTTTGACGAAGTTGCCTATGTGAGAAAGTTTGGGCAAGATTGATTTATTTTTACGTGTCAAAAATAAAAATATGTTGCCTATGTGAGAAAGTTTGGGCACGATTGATTTATTTTTACGTCTCAAAAATAAAAATATGTGAACCTACTTTAATCAACATGGTAAATATCTAGTTTGGATGTGTATTATTAGTGAAATGTGAGGATACAAGAAGCAAAGCATTGCACAAATTATTCCTTCTAGATCCACAAATTTTAAAATTGACTATTATAATAATATAATATGATGATTGAATTGAAGAACGACGAACAATAATGTCAACAAGAGCAAAGATAAAAAGATTGTGAAAAATAGTGAAAAGAAAAACGAGTAACACAACATTAAAATCTAAAATAAATTTTTAATTAGTATAATAAATATTTATTATATTAATTTAATTAGTAATTGATTTTATAAGTATTTATTATTTTAGATAAAATTCAATCAACATAATATTATATCGATTTATATTTTATATATCGATTAAATTTATGATTAATATAATACATATTTATTATATTAGTTAGTCATTATAAGAATCATATCGGTTAAAAAAGTTATACCAATATAATAAGTTAAGTCATATTCATGAAATATTTCCTATCACTTCCTAAGATAAAATAACAATCTTCTTAATAATTCTTGTAGGATTTTATACTAATAAATTTATCAAGATATTAGTATTTAATAAAATTATTCATTGAAATAAAAAATAAAAATATTTAAAATGACAAAAACTAATATTTTTATATAATAAAAGTTATTTTCTTTTATAAATTAATTCTTTTTATGGTTTGTAGAGGTTGAATTAAAAACATGCAAGGAAAATTCTCCGAAGAATCATATTCTTTTTTAGAAAAATTGTTCGTTTGAGCGAAACTTTTTCATTTAAGTGAAAATATATAATTTTTATCTCTATTACACATTTTACTTGAATAATCAGTTATCATTTAAGCAAAATATACAAAAAAACAAACCTACAAAACATACGACAAATGAATTTTTGGCACTAAGTTAGCATCATAGGTTAAATCTTATAACCTAGAGTACTAGGAAAATGAAAGATTTTCTCATTTTTCTTATTCTAAAAACTCTAAACTCTTAGAAAGTCATATCCGATTAAAAAAAAAATTAATTCATAAATCAAACATATTATGATATTTTTAAATTAGTCAAATTTTTTTTTATTCGATACAATCCACCTAACCTTAACCCTCACATGAAAGCTCTTCAAATTTACTCTACTAAAAATTTTGATAGGTTAAAATTGTTCCCATTTACTCCAAAATTACTAAAATCTGCTTTGATTTAGAAAAGTATAAGAAATGGAGTGAGAAAATTAAAAAGGAGACTGAGAAAAATACATAAAGAGAAATAATGATTAAGTAAAAATAAGTTTAAATGATTAAGATTTTTTATTTATAATTATTTTTAACTTAAATGATAAAGCTTAAAATTTTAACCACTAGATTACTTCTATTTTTAATTCACCCCATTTTTATTATCATGTTTATTAGTATGTAATATAATTACGTATATTTAAATACAACTAGATATTAGTTTTATCATTCTAATCTACTATCTACAACAATAAAATAAATACTGTAATTATTTAAACTCCGATTTTACAATTTATTTTGTTTTTGTTTTTACTTGCTATAATTATTTAAAATATATATTAATAACACACTTTTTTATATTAGTCAAACTTTTGAAATTCATGAGTTCCACGCGTGATTTTCAACCAATGGAGTAATATATTTTAAATATATGATATTTTATAACAGTAGCGGAAATGTGTGTATCTATATTTTTATTATTATTTTATTTTAATTTATTAAAATTAATATATATATATATATATATTAATTTTAAAATATAAATATTTATTCTTAAAATTTGAATTATTTGAGATAAATGAGGATAGAGTTATAAGAGGAGTTATGAAAATATGTCACTGAGTAAGTAAAAAAAACTTATGTTTTTTTATTTTTTTTATTTATTTTATATTTGAGAGAAAAATTTTTAAAAGAATATGACTAAAAGTAAAAAAAAAAATATATATATATATATAATTTAATATTATTTTCAAGAAAAGTCTAAAATAATTTAATTTAATATTTTTATTGACAGTTGATTATTGAGGAAAAGATTTTGATATATGGAAGGTCAATTAAAGAAAGCTAACATTAGAGCATATTAAACCTATTATATTGTTATTTAAAAGAAAATGAATATAAAAATGTAACCTAACATTAATATAGAGGTTAATAGGCATATATTATCAATTCAGTAGAAATAAATTTTAGATAGTTTTAAAATTAACTATTATAAAACAACTTATTGTAAATAACTGTTTGTTGTTAATGTCTATATAAATATCATGTACTATAAAAACTAATTAATCTCTCTTAAAACGGAAAAACGAAAATAATCTCTCTCAATATTTTTTACTTATTTTTTATTTTTTTACTTATATCCATAAACTTAATCAGAAACGCTTAATCAAAGTGATAGAGGTTTGATTTGATTTTAAGGAAGTAAAAATTGTTTATATCAACAATTTTCACGCGTAGTTCAAATTTTTGAGAAGTAGAATTATTGTTATGACAAAAAAAAAAAACTATGGAAGAATAATGAAAATACCAGAAGAATAGAAGAACATATAGCCAAACAATTTAATCTTTATTGATTCACGAAATTAACATATCCTATCACTTTCGCAGCTTAAACTAGCCGGAGTTTGGTGGTATACTCTGTTCATAGGTAAAGAAATTGTCTGGATCAATCATTGTTTTGACTTTCACTAATCTATCAAAGTTTTCCTTGAAGAACTTGGTTCCATATAGGCTAGCATCTTTCAAGCTTGTGGAATTACTTGCATGTTTGGCACCAACATCAATATCCCTATAATTGAGAAATGCTTCCCTTGGAGACCTAGAAACAAAAGGGGTCATGAACTCATAGAACGACCTCGAATAGTTCATGAACCGATTATAGGCCTCAGGACCATCTTCTTTCCAAAACACAAAGTATTGAATCAGGAACAAGTTCCCTGCCCTATGAGGAAAAGGGGTTGCTGATGGCGAAATCTCCCCCATTCTCCCTCCATAAGGGTTCCATTGCATCCAAATGTTGTTATATTTAGTCATAAAATCCCAAATTTTTTTTATGCCCTCTTTAGGGATAGGGGTTTTCACATAATCTGACTTGCCCTTAGAGTAGATTGTTGGTGGCTCCCGAGAAGTTGGTAGCAAAGCTTGAATAGGGGTACCAATTGGGAAATCAGCCCAGAAAAGAGTGGAATTGACCCAAGGCATTACTGTGCAATCACTTCTATTCAAAGCCAATTCAGGGAATACCCCATTCACCAAAGGAATAAGCCTTTCAACTGGGCCTAAATATTGGCCGATGAAAGAGACTATCACTGTTCCATTCACCACTTCAGGCTCCACCCTTATGAAGAGATCTCTGTCTAGTTTTGGTGCAACTTCTTGCCATCTGTAGACAACACCAGTTGCATCTGCTTTCACAGATTTTTTCACTTTGAACACTGTCACTTGTGGAGGCACAGGGACCAATTTGATCGTCCATGAAGTTATGACACCAAAACTGGCCCCACCACCTCCTCTTATGGCCCAAAATACATCCTCTCCCATGGACTTCCTATTAAGAAAAGTACCATTGGCATCGACCATGTTTGCATCAATGATGTTATCCACAGAAAGACCATATTTTCTCATCAAATTGCCATATCCACCACCAGAAAAGTGGCCACCAGCACCCAAAGATAAACACACCCCTGCTGGGAAAGCATGCACCTTGCTTTGCTGTGCTATTTCGTAATAAATCTGACCAACTGTGGCTCCAGCCTGAACATATGCATTGCCCGTTCCCACGTCAACATTAACAATACTAAGAGGAAACATGTCAACAATGACGAAGGGCACGTCTGAGACATACGAAAGACCCTCATAGTCATGGCCACCACTTCGGATTCTAACCTGAATGCCGTTTGATCTGGCGCATCTAACTGTTGCCTGGACGTGAGATTCACTTCGGACAAGCACGATGGCAACAGGTTTTGGTGTGTTTTGTGTCTTGAATCGTTTGTTATGAATATGCAGGTTTAAGAGAGAGGTGTATGAGGCGTTTCCTGGGGTGATCACGCTTTCATTTGATGATAAATAAGTTTCGAAACAAGCCAGGAATTGTTTGGTATTTGGGGGCTGATAGTGTGAATTTGCCTGCGAAACAGACAGAACTATCGTTAGAGAGGCTAGGAAAAAAGAGAACCACCCCATTGTTTTAACGGTAGAATTAGAATGGGATACCAATGTGCCTTCTTCGCCCAGCATTTGGACTTAATATATATAGTCATGCCACCTCCTATGTTACACACCGTGTGTGATACGATACGAGGATCTCCAACATTTAATTTTCGAACAAAAAATAATTAATATTGTTTTGTGTATTTATTAAGCAAATGCTTTTCAACATCAGTTGATTAACCAGGAAAGAAAGAAGTTACAGTCTGCATTGAATGAAGACAGATACAACATAAAAAAAAATTAAGTGATAGTAAATAAATTTGTATATATATATATGAGTTAAAAAAATTATTATTATTTATTATTTTTTGTAATTTAATATTCTATATTATTAATTCACATAATTTTTTTTATCAAAAACCAATAAATAACTGAAGAAATCCATTTATTTTAAAAAAAGAGTAAGAGTTACATATTATTTTTTCATTTTCATTATTTATTTTTTAATCTAATAATTTATCTTAATCATTCAATTATAAAATAAATAAATGATAATAATAATAATAATAAAATAAGTGATATATATATATATTGAATAAAATAAAAAAGCAATAGAAATATGACACAATTCGTAAACAATCCCTCAAAAGTCTTATTATAAAATTAATTCATTTTTAATTAACTTAAAATAAATAATATTATATTTCAATAGTATTAGTCTTTGGTTCTATTGGTATTTTTTATTAGCTATTAGTTTTTACTATCGATTTTTAGTTATTTTGTCATTAATTTGATTTTTGGTATTCCTAATTTTGAGGTATGAGGAAGCTAATCTCAAAGTAAATTTTCTACACCAAATTTAATTTTAGAATAACTTGTTAACTTATTAAATAAGATAATATTGATTAAGGATAGTTTAGAAATTTTTTCTATAAATACATTTAGAAAAAAAAGAAATTTTTTCGTAAGTTAAAACTAGTTATGCATAATGTAATGTATAAGAATTTTTTTTTTTTTACATAAATTTTCTATTTTTTATTTTTAATGTGTATAGAATATTTTTAATTTATATAAAATACTATATTATTAAATATACTTTAGTTAATAATTTTCATCGAATATAAAAAATTTATTTTTTAATATATTTATTTATATAAGTATAATATTTATTATAATAACTAATACTGATCGGAAAATTAAATAAAAAATTCATCTTACATTTAATATTACATTATATATCAATTATTTGGTTTAAACTAATACTTTACTTTTCAAAAGTATTTTGAACAAACTGTATATTTAAAATTAAATAAATTCAAATAAAACTTAAAATACTATATTATTAAATATACTTTAGTTAATAATTTTCATTGAATATAACAATTTTTTTAATATATTTAATTATATAAGTATTATAGAGATTATAATAACTAATACTGATCGGAGAATCAAATAAATATATTTAATATTACATTTAAGTCTATTTTTAATTGTTTCTGTACAAAAGAAACAGTTAATTTTAAATTTATTTATTCATTAAATATACAGATTATCTTAACCCAAATGAATTTAATACTTAATAAATGCAAAGTATTTAATATATATTTAACTTATGTAATTAAGTCCCTACCAAAACACTTTGATTTATTAAAATTTACATATATTACAAATACTGATATGAAAATTCAAATAGGATTTAATGCTTGTTTGTAAAACTTTTAATTTTATATATTTATTTATATGAATATTTAAAACCAATTAAATTTAATATTTAAAAAATTTAAAATATACTGCATTTAATAAACTTTCATATAATGTAGCAGTTAGTTAATAAGTTAAATGAAAATTATAATAATTAATACTGATATGACAATTCAAATTAAAATTTATTTCAAATAAATTATAAATATAAATTATATATATATATTCCAAATTGTAACGTTTAAAAATACAATTAAAATTGGATTTAAATCCCAAATATACATAATATATTTATTTAAAATACCGTTAATTGTAATTTCTCTGTATCAACAATTAACATATGTAACAATAACTTTCAAAAAATAATAAATCAGCAAAAGGTTGAATAAATTTAATATTCATGGTAAAAAATACCTTATCAAACTTTGCCTATAATAGAATGCTTTTTTTGTGTAACTAGGGAAATTTTTTATTAATTCATATTTAATGGAAAATATTGGCCTAGTTTATATTTATTTAGTGCAATGGCTTGTCTGAATTTACGAATAAATTATGAAATATTTTATTAATAAGTTGACAAAGAAATTTTGTTTTCAATAATCTCTTCAACATGAATTTTGTGAGCATTTCTGGCAATAGTATATTGAATATTAACTATGTGTAGTCAATTATAATAAAAGAAAAAACAAAATAATATTAAGAAATATATTGTTTTATGATATATTTTATCTTCAATAATTTTTTTTATCTGAATCTCATAAAAGATGTATCAATAATATTTACATTTGTTGTGAATTTATATGCATTAATATAATAAACGATAAAAAAAATATATATATATATATATATATATATATATATATATATATATATATATATATATATATATATCCTTTTTTTACCGTTATTATGTAGGGATGGATGAACATGCTGATTGAAAAGCTATGTAATATTTTCACTAACGTATTTCATATAAATGAGTTAACGAAAAAATTGACTACGAAACATATTTTCGTTATATAAGTTTATTATTATTATTATTATTATTATTATTATTATTATTATTATTATAATAGTGTTTTATATTTAAATAAAATTAAATTAAAATAAAGTGTGTTAATATATCTACCTATATATAGTTTAAAATAAATTTGTATATAAATATATATATATATATATATATATATATATATATATATATATAAATTATCATTAAAAAATATGAAATTTTATATTCATTATGATTTTATTAAACAATATAAAAAACAGGAGTAATATTATATATATATATATATATATATATATATATAAAAGAAATAAATTAAAATAAATAATTTATCTTATTCTTACTAAAGTTTCCAAATATCATTTATCCTCGTATAAATGTACAATTATTATGATTTAAAATAAAACAAAATAAATATACTAAATTTAATTTAATATAACACAATAATTTAATATATTTTCACACACATTAATATTATGCAAATTTATTTTAGAGGTAATACATGACATTAATTCACGTCACAAAAATTATTCAATATCTAGATAAGTTTACTACTACATGTTACACAGACCCTTCACAATTTTTCAAAAACTATATATTGGTTAGATATAAAAAATTATACATTTGTTCCACTATAATTTCTCTCAAGTTTTTAACATTAGGATATTTTCATTGGTTTACACAGTATCGTCTGACTAGGTTAAATTTTTATTACTGATTTGTTACTCATGATTATACATTCCATATTAAAAGAATTTTCGTCAACTTTCATCACCTAATATTTTCATTTATATGATTTTAGTAATAAGTAGAGTTAAATAATTTCCTTGAGTCCAAATATACTCATTCACACTATACATCATATGTATGAGAATACCTCTTGGTATTATAACACATCATCACAACGGTACCAAACAAACACACATACATCTAATTCCAACATAGTTAGTTCATCGTAGATTTGAAAATATCATCGAATCAAATTTGACTTTTAACTTAACATTTTAAATGCAAAGATATATAAAAATTAATTTTATTCAATTAAAGAGACCTTTAAAACTCTTGAAATCTTGAAAAAATTCTTTATTTATATATTACGAAATGGTTAATCGAAAATAGAATGAGTGAAATTTAGAAGGTTGAGCGGATTATGTATACACTTCAAGTATTTGTTTTTGTCAAATTTTCATTGAGCAAAATAACATTCATTTGGTGAAATTTTGGTAAAATTGAACCTTCGTCATTGTCCTGAATCTATTGGGCAAATTTAAAAGTGTTGATCAAAATTTCAACACTTTCAACATTACCTTAAATTTATTAGGCGGATCTATGATAATACCAAAACTGTATAATCTATCCACTATTATATTTTCCATGTTCTAATTAAATTAAATATAAATACTACCTTCCAAATTAAAAACCACTTCACCATATTAAATCTAAATACAACATAATAATATAAAACATTATCATTTTCAATATCATAAAAGTCAATTATCAAATCACATTTAAACTCAATTAAAATCCGCACACACTAAACACATTCAATCATATAATTCAATTTTCTCATGTGAAATAGTTATCTTAACAATCCAAATCTTTTAACCTAAAATACTATAGAAATAGTAGAATAACTAGTTTATCTTACCTTTTAATTTCTCTTGTCACGAGAAAATCCTAAAAACTCTCAAATCTACAAAAAATCAATCTCTACTCCTAGAAAAGTCAAATAAATAAATTGAATATATCACAATTTTTTTACACTAATCAAGATTTATTTTTACTGGACAAATCTCATATACATGATGTTTAGGCCCTATATTTAAGCCCCTCAAATTTTCATACAAATGCTCTTTAACAATAGATAAAGAAAAATTTACTCTATTAGAAATTTTGATCAGTTAGAATGTTAGAATCGCGCAGCGGAATGTTCGCGTGGTCGGACAAAAACCAAGAGGGGGGGTGAATTGGTTTCTTAATAAAAATTAGGTTTTCAAAACTTTCCCCAAATTTTACCGATTAAAAACTGCGTAAATGTAAATAGAGAAGAGTAGAGAAGATTACACAGTAGGTTTATACTGGTTCGGATCAAAAGACCCTACGTCCAGTTGCTAATCACTCAAAAGAGGATTAACGCTGTCACTAAGAACAAATTGTTACAAACAGATTACAAATGAAAAGATAAAGATACGAAAACACCTCTCTTGAAATCCACAAGAGATGAAGAACAGCTTTTCCCTAGAGACGGCACAAGCACACAATCCACTAAGAACTCCACTTAGTGATTCTTATCGCTTCTAGCCTCACACCAGGTTCCAAAAGCCCC